GGGGGGCGCTTGTGCGTAATGAAGAATCTAGTATTTCATTCTTTTTTGTGAACATGCTTAGTTTGAAAATTTCGTTTAGCATACTAACTTATAGGTGGCTAAAAATCTGGCATAGCGTAAAAAGAAAAATACAAACAAATGGGGGCTGTGTCACTTTGGTTGGGGGATGTTTAAAGACTCTTTAGAAGTAAAATAAAAAGAAAAGATGCGATTTATAATTCAGAATTAGTTAACTATAACTGCCTGTATTAAATTATTAAAGAATACATGTAAGTTTACATGATAAAAAATTTTTAAAATTCGAAATGCGCTAAGAAATAAAATACGCACCTGAACTGCACTTTTACCAAATAATTTTATGTGGTTTGTTTTTTTCCTTCGTTGCATGTGATCACCAATTTTTTTTTTACACATTTTCATTTTTAAAAAAAATTGAATTTTTTTTCACAACTTCTAAGTATTGACATTGACACTATCACTAGGTCTATGTGTTTGAAAACAAATATTTTTTTAGAAACCTCATGCATTTCCCCACAATAATATATATAACATCATGAATTTTAGACAAGGATTCTAAAAGTTATCGACTCTTTTTTAAGCTCACTAGAGATATCATGAAAACATGCAAAATTCAAGGAATGTAAAGACAGTAAAGTAGTAAGTAAAGAGTTAAATTAAGGCAATGACTCAATGAAATTTAAGCGCGAATAATTATTTCTAGTGATATTAAATTAAAACTTCCTCTTTACCTAATGGAACTAAAGGCTTACAATTGCGTCTTTTTGTTCGAATACAATAACCATTTAACAAAATAGTACACGATTTTTTTTTAAAAATGTACATTTCATGATTCTTTTGACATTTACGACGCCATTGTGGGAAAACAATGAGAACTCTTCCGTTTTCAAAGATACGTTATAAAAGTTGCCCAATAGGATATATTTAGATTTAAATGTTTTTTATTTTTATTTTATAAATCTATCTACTTTGTCTGATATTTCTTTCTAGCCCACTGGATCCAGTAACAGCCATGTAAAGGTGGTACTCGCAAAGGATCTCAATATCAGGGGTGCATTCGCCCAGGGCACTTTTTAAAAATAAATTATAATTAGGGGTGGCATTTTCGGCGAGCTGAAGATGTTTTTTTTTGTTGTTTTTTTAACATAGTGGTAGTGGGTGGCACAACTCTCTAGTTAACATATCGCAACATAATCCCTGGTCCGCTCGTAACGTTTCCCAGATCTGCTCATTATGATTACAAGTAAAACATAAACCAACGCTTGGACATTGGTCGCTCTCTGTTGTTGGTGAAATTCTATAACGTGGTCCATTAATAATTAAATTAATATTATTACTTTTCTAAAATTCAAATGAAAACAATAAATGTATCTAAATCATCTTGATTACTATATTTTAAAAAAAAAAATTGATCTACGAAAATGGCTTAAACAAAAAAATAAAATTAGAAAGAAAAAACAACTACCTGCAATAAGAAAAAAAACACACAACTAGATCTAAAAAGAATAAAACTATGAATCTATGAAATAAGGAGAAAAAACACTTTTAAAAAATTTCTCATAATATTGTTATCACACCCGGCTCCGAGGCCATTTAATCTATACGGAGCCACTCCGGGGTCAGAATAGTTTTTTTTGGCTATATGTACCCGGGTACCTATAGGTGCAGCCTTCTCTTTATTTTCTCTTTACTTTAATACATTTTTTGTCTATTTTTGTCTAATTTTTTTTATCCAATCAATCCGGGGGGG